GGAGTGCGGAGTTGTCGAGCGCGGATCCCTTCCGCAGAGATCCGTTTCGATGTTTTGCGGGTTTTTTCTCGAGGGGAACAAGCTGGCGCCTGACCCGGGAAAAAAAGCCTACCCTTCAAGAAATAAACAAAGTTTGCCAACCATCATTGTGGGGTTAGTTCCATGTCTTAAGAGGGGGATTTTGAGGGTCCAGGTATTTGGTAATTGAAGAAAAGATCCCTGTTTAGCGGATCCCACCCTCTAAGTCTGTTTCTTGCTTGGTGGGGCTCCATGTTCCCTCTCAACGACCTTAAGTACCGTTTTGTCTTGCTTTCTCAAGGGGAGTCCCCTCGAAATCTACCAGAAAAGACATCGGATGCCTGGCTTGTTTTAGGCTGCACTGATCCATTTGCACTTGTTGTTAGCGGGCTGGGTAACATGAGCCCGCCCAGATGAGAGAGGCCGCCCGGATGAGAGCCAGGTAAGGGACATTGCTCCACCTTTTCGCACCGTTCAAGGGATAGGTGTCGGTTCTGGTTTCGGTTTGGTTCTGCACCTAGACGGATCAGGTTCCCTTAGTTTCCATCCATGATAGGGCATGAACCCCTTTTGTCGCTGACAAAAGGGGTTCATGCCCTCCAGACCTCAAAATTATAAATGTATTTGCAAGTCCTTTCAGCATGCACAAAGACAACCTAAACGGTTTAAGAGTCTTACCTTTTTAACACTTTGTCCTTGAAGGGTGTTTCTCAATTTCCCTTGAGCAACAAGTGAGCACTTGCAGGAGTCCAAGTCTAGGCCACCCCGGATTCATAAACCCCCAGTTTGTTAATTGGGAGTGGCCCCGGGTTTAGTGGGGAATTAGGAATTAGACCACTTTTGGAGGGCCCCTACCCCCAAATTAATAAACTGGGGTTGATTAACCTGGGGTCAACATTAAATGAGAAACCACTGTATTGGGACTAGGACACAGGTTCCCTCAACACCAAAGGAGAGGCTCTCGAAGCCAAGCCAGACATCTGCAGGAAGCGTTTTGCCTCACAAAACACAAGGCGTTCTTCTAGTTAGTGCCAATCAACACCCGGGTAAGCTAAGGTTAGTGCACAATTTTGACTCGAAATAGCTGTAGCCGGCATGGCAAAAAGCAGACAGTGCAGCTCCAGGCTGGTGATGTGAATCCTGGATTCGCATAGCCTCGGAGGCTGGTCAACCGGTTGATAATTTTTTAAGGGACCAGCAACATACCTACCTCTTCGAACTCGGAGACTGTGTAGAATCAAGTCCCGTTCATGGCGTTGAAACTGTCGCGGGAAAGCACCCTGGGAAGACGCGAACACGTTCTTCAAAATTCACTGAGAACATGCACAAGCATATACACGCGCGCGCACACACACACACATGTTTTGTTGCTCACAGGCAGTAAATTTCGGGAGGGGGTAAGTATAGTGGAAATCATAGATCGGATGGGTGGCTGAGGTTTACTCTTGGTCTGCGGCGCCTCCCGTGGATGATGCTTGGCGAATCGGGACTCAGATTGCTCAGGGCCTGGACAAAGGTAAGGCAAGGTACTCATACGGTAAGGTAAGGTGGTCCAAAAGCAACCGAGCGACTATGGGAAGACGACAGCGATCAAAAAGTCTTCGCACAATGCCAATCTCAGATTGACAATGCACCCTTGGCCTTTTCGTTGGCTCACTCATGGCTCCATAAACCTGGAGGATCTACTTTTGATCGGCGAAAACGTGAAGTATCCTTCCTCCCACTAACATGGCACCTGAGGGAGGGTAGCTGGAAAATCAGCTTCCTCTTGGAGGGACCGGGTCCCTGTCAGGTGCCATGGCAACGTGGGAGAGAGGGTATCCCTCTTAAGTGGAACATTGTCCATTACCACAGGTACTCTTGAGCAGTCAACCAGGGCCTTATTATTGCTGGGATAGAATCACAGTTCACATGACGCACAGCATTTAAACAACGGGCCTTTTTGCTGGCTGATAACATTGGTGCAAAACCTAGGGCGGGCTCATAAGCTCACGGAAGGTCGGTCTCCTAGGGTCTTGGTGCAGAGATTTCTGAGACAAAAACGGTATGCTTTCTCATGTGATACTGTGGATGGTTGCGAACTCCATTCCGCATCGTTCAGAAACCCAACGGAATGTTTTGATTTCCCTCCAAATACCAACAAACGTGTTTGTGTCAACCATGGTTTCAAAGTCCGGATAGGATCAACTATCTTCGAAGCCGTCAACTAGTCATGGCCAAACAGCGCCAGGGATTTGTCCACAACTATGGTCCTTCGAGTGGACCAAGGGCCATGGTTGACATCAGTGTCGGGAGATGCAACCATTGGAGCCGATCAGACGGGGCATGGAGATTTGCCGGGTGTCAAGAGGGAAGGTTCATCTCAGGTTGTAGCGGAGTTTCCAGGATCAATGGGAGATTTCTCCTTAGCGCAGTGTGCGTTGCTGGGCCACTCCGATTAGTCAATTTTTGTTTTGGACAGGGTTGTCTCGAGTCCTTGTCTTGTTCCTTCTCTCTCTTTCTCTTGCTGTCTCTCCATGTCTCTCCCCTCTCTCGGTTTGTGTTTTTCCGTCTCTCTGTCTTGTTTGTTGTGTTGCCTCGTTCTCTTTGGTTTGCTTCTTTTTTTCTCTCTCTCTCCTCTCCCTCCCTCCCTCCCTCCCTCCCTCTCTCTCTCTCTCTCTCTCTCTCTCTCTCTTTCTTTGCCTCTTTCTTTGACACGAAGTTGGCGTCAGGGCAGCCAGCTTCCAAAAGTAGCATGAGGCAGAAGGCACAATCTGATTCACTGATCTACGTCCTACAAAAGCCCTTTAACTCGTTGTTCGAAAAGGGCATGTGCTGTTCCTAACTTAAGTTCAATATCTTCAACTTGGGACTTTTGTTGGTGCTTCCCAAAATATGAAATGGTCTACCCCAGAAATGGCAAGGGTTTGTTCTTTTGCCCCCCCTGATTGACAAAGCCGCCTTCAACAAGCGCAACCCGCAAAAACGGGCCTTGACCGTCCCTAGTCCCCTAGAAGACCCACCAAATCCCGTAAACCCTCCCCCACAAAACCACCAAAAGCCCCAGGAAATTTCCCCTACAGGAAACCATTTCCCAGGAAGCCATCCCCCCGCCAACCGCCAAATCCCTTAAACCCTAGAAAACCCCCAAACCCCCCTAAACCATCCCCCCGGAAACCGGTGTCCGGGGCTTCCGGCTCTTTTTGGAACCTCCGACAGCGAGAGCTCTCCGAGGACGAGGAGATCGTAGCGCTGCGGCGTCGGGTGGCGCAGCTGGAGGCGGAGATCTTGAAGCAGCAGATGGACGCGCCGCTCGCTTCGGAGCTGTCGATTCGCCGCTTCGAGCCCCCGGAGTTTTCTTTTCTCGGAGCCGAACCGGCGACTTTCGGGGTGAAAGCGTCAGGGGTTCGTTTCTTCTTTTGTCAAGGATTTCCTTTTTGGGGGGATTTTTTGTTGTTGGGCTCCCATTATTTTTATTGATTCAACCACTGGAAAATCCTCTTAAAGGGAGCAGCTTAGTTGCTGCCAGCCAGACCCTCGTTTAAACAACTTAAACTAATGTGAAGAAACTACCTCCAGTCCCTTCCTGCAGTCCTGGGGGCCAAGAGCTGCCAACCAACTCCCAATTTTCCCCTGGCTCCTCGCCGCCTTTCGGGCGGTGAACATGGGACGTATCAAAGGGGAGGGCTGGGGCCTGTATCTTGGCGTGTTGTAAACGCACATCTTCAGGGAAGCAAACGCCGCTTTTTGTGGGGACGAGCCCTCGCTCGTTCCGGTCTGGGTATGCGTCAACAAGAAGCGGCCAAGTCAGCATGGTGGTTTCAGTTTGTATTCCCTTTAGGCCGACCCTCACAAGGGGGGTTCCCCACACACACACACACACACACACACAAACACACACACACAAGCATCTTGATTAATTTGGACACCCTTCTTTGGCCGTTTTGAAGTAAGTTCCTGCTGCATGGGGTGATGCTTTTTCGGGCAATATGGAAATCAGCCATCTCATCTCGCTGAGGCTACTAGACGTCCCGGACCCAGCGGACGAGTAGCGCAGAGCTCTTCTGAGCTCCAGGCGCGCACAGTTTCAACCAGTTAATGTAGCCCAACCGCACGTGGGCGAACAACCAATCGGTTTGGGCCATCCAGAAAAATATCCTCGAGAACTACTGTACCTCTTTTTTTTTGGATACACTAGAACAACCAGAATCTGAGAAACCGGCCGTCTCTTTTAGGCCAGATGTGGGCCAAGAATCCATCTGCCTTGTGTTGGCTGGGCAGAACCGGGTGCTCTTTCAGCTCTCGCCGCGGTATGCGGCAACCCGACCCTGGGCCCAGAAAGACCCTGTGCATGCCGTCAGAGAGGTTCCGTCAGAAGAGATTGGCTTGGAAACCGCTCACTCTCCGGGGCTGTCATGGAAGCTCCCAGAACTCTTTGCGTGGTTCCAAGGCTTTCTGGGAGCTTCCATGTTGGCCTGCTGGATCGCAACTTGGGGTGTTTCGGGCCATTGAAATTTGGAGCTGCCCCGCCAAGCGGGGGCGCAATTCCATGGACCTGCTAGACAGCTCGAGATTTGGCCGGTTTTTCATGGTCCTCCAGACTTCAGACTTCTTGGAGTGTCTTTGCCCTTCTTGGTGACATGTTTACATTATTCGAGTTGTTGTTCATGCTAGCCGCGTGGAAACCAAGCGGCTATCTGTTTGCAGACTCGCAAAAAATCGTGGCCTTGCGACTTGTTTTTCTACCGTCACTGGACTGTGGAAAGACCTCCGGCCAAGTTGGAGCACGGGACTCGCGGACTCATTGCCTTGAGACGACTCGCGCATGGCTGGCCCGAGCTGCGAAGAAAAAGACCATGCCATAGAAACCGACCATGGCACGGTTTCCCGTGAACGAAGCTGCTGCCCTGCATACCTCTTCATCGTCCCAAAAAAGTCCGGCGGGGAGAAGGAGCTTCCCCTAGGTCGCAAGCACGGTCCTTTGGATGTCCAAAAAGAGCTGAAACATGAACCCAGAGACCAACAACTTGTGTTTCTCATCGGCTTCATATTTGTTTGGGAACCCTCCATTGGACACCCCAGACAAATGTTGGGGTCTCAAAACCTGGCGGTTTGAGGGTCCAGAATGAATCGGGAGCGTCTGGGTTTGGACCATTTTGCTGGCGAAGACTGTGGACCTTGCTTTGGGCTCGATCGGAAGCGAGTTTTCGGCCAGGCCGGACTTCTGTTTGGTTGGTGCACGTGTCGCATTTCCCTTCAGATGCCCCAAAGATGTTCTTGCTTGCTAGATTTACAGAGTTGATTAGTGATTTGTTTGTTGTTTAGTTTGGGCTGAATCATCCTCATCAACATCATAATGGGTGCTTGAGTTCCACTCCCTGGATGTTTGTCTTCTGCCGTTCAGTTCTTTTTTATTTGTTTAATCATTTAGCTCAAATCTGTTACGCTATCATTGGTCTCTGCAGATGATTTGATCTACTGCCAACGGGCTTCAGACTCCCGAATTCCTGGTTCCGAATTCCTGGTGATGCTACGTGTTTGTTTGTTTTTCTTCTGCGGGTGACGTTATTATACTTGAGAAAGTGCACGCGTCATCGGTCCGTGTGCATGTTACGGCGTTTCCTTTTTCTTCCGCTTCTCTGATGGCTTCCCTGGTTTTTGGATGCCACCGTGGCCTAAATCCGTTCGCTTTGGAACCATGGTTGAAACTATTGTTTGTTGGTATTAACAGGGGAATCATCATTCCAGGGTTTCTTAGGTTGTGCAGGATTTTGTCCATCCGCAGTAGTCAATGTTAAAGGCGGCTCATGTCTGCAGACTTCCCTCTTAGCCCTTTTCCTTGCGCATGAGACTCACCGAGGTCGAGAGGCAGTGCTGGCACGCTTGGAAGGAAACACCATGGACTGGGGGCAGTTGGCCGATTTCCGGCGGAGGGAACCCAAACCCAACCTTTCGAGTCTCACGGAGTCATCGTATGAGACGCAGCCACAAATGGTATCGCGAAAATTCGTGCCATTCCCCCCCGCCCCCAGAGTGCAGATTGACCGGTTCTGAACCTCAAAACAACGGTCAAACCACAAGGATAGAATCAACATGTGCCACGGTCAAAAGGCCTTTTTACTTCGGGTTAATGGCCATCCTCCTGGTGGTGGGCATCTTGAATGTCCATGGTCATGTTTCTTTTTGTTGAGGGAGCCATGAACATAGGACATATATTCGGAGTTTTGACCATGGCTCATTGGGGCTCCAATTGCTCGCTCGAACTACATGTCTGCCCTGATCGGGTTGGAGCAGCCCTGATTTTTCTGAATGCAAACGAAGAGGCCAAAGGACCGCCGGTCCGAAGTATTTCAGAGGGTCCAATTTCCCATCTTGAAAGATCCACGGCCTTACATGAATCCAGGAACTAGATCGAACTTGACCGCTTCTTGCTTGCATGAATACTGATGTGTTACTCCTGTTTGTAGTTAGTGGGAACCAACCCGCGAAGTAATCTATGCTGATGTGAACGAACATGTGTGCCATGGTCAAAGCACGCTTGAAGTTCAGCATGGCTTGCCTTTTCCGCTGCCTGTGGGATAAATAAGCAGCCCCCCTGATAGTGTAGAAACCCTTTTCAAGGGAGGCTGTGCATTTCAGCAGTGGATGGCACCGCCCGTGTTTGCTGGCAGCAGAAACTGAGCGCCGCCGACATGTGGCCAGGGGTTGCGATCTGCCGAGCCCTGCGGTGCGCGGCCCAAAGGGAGGGGGACAGGTGTAGGGGCGATCTGTTTTGAGGGTGCCAAAAGGGCTGTTTAGAAGAGTCATCTAAGGAAAACCTATTTGTGGAGTTTCCATGGCCCCTCATTTTTTTCCGAGATTACGTGTACATGGTTTCAGAATGTGGTGCTTTTGTTTTGGGCAATGGCAGATACGTAAGAGGGCAACAAGACGGGTTGTGTTCTCCGTCGAAAAAGGAAACTAAACAAAGGACACTGCAACTTCCGGCCATTGTAATTTGGCTGTTTGATGGTTTAAAGATCCCAAACTGCTACAAGATCCCGCCCCTTGCTTCAATTCCTATTGCGCGGGAACTTCAGTGGACAGGCCCGTGTGAACGCTGTGTTTGCAACGTGGACTCGAGTGAAGGGACCGAAGGCTCCATTTTGGAGCGTGGTGGCGTTAGGAGATAGCTCAATCTCATGAAGATTGCCGAACGTAGTGTGGATGGACAAAGCTCTGCACATGTTGGCAGGTGGTGGCTTATCAGAATTTATTGAACTTCATCCATCCCAACTGAGCCACAATCAAAACCCGGAGATTAATGTTAGTAAGGGCCAATCCCAATTCATAAATAGCTGCGGCCGCCTTCTTAATTCTTTGCATGGTTCTGGGATTCCGACCATTTTGATACCGTGTTTTGAGCAAGTGACTCAACTGGTGCGAAGCGAATCTTTCCCGTAGCAAATGTTGCTGAACAAAGGAGCGGCTTCTTGGGCGCGGCTTTGGATTACTGCAACGCGAGTCTGTTGAGAACTCTTTGGCTCTTTCGAGTTTCATTTGCGGCGAAAGGCCCTTTTCAGGGTTTCGGGTTTCTTCATTTGCCTTCTTGGCCAGCGAAAGGAGGCTACATGACAGGCACTGCTGACTTCTGACAAGCGGGTCCTTGCATCGCAGTCAGCAAGAAGCACCACCTGTTGCAGCGGATTCACAAGCAACAAAACGCAGAACTGCCATTTTTTGTCCACCAGGACTTCGAACAACAAGGCTGGCAGCTCCTTGTCATGGCCAGTTGTCGTTGCACACTTTCCAACAGGGAAAGCAGGTCAAGAAGATCAAGTTGAATGTGGGGTCGGACCAATAGAGCACCAGAATGCATAGGAGGCTTGTGGGTTGGGATGCCTTTCTTTTGCAAATATTTTGTGCCCCCCGAATTCCTCACTCCCTGAGTTCCTGTGCTTGATACTTTTTGGGTTTGGTTGCCATCTCAGTGGCAAAAGAGTTGGGCTCGTTTGGGCCTTGGCCCACTCAGGAAGTGAGCAAAAAGCAAAGGCAAAAGGGCACTCCCTGGTGTTTTACTCACATAAGCGATGAGGGGAGCTCCGAAGCTTCCATGGTAACCTGTTTGGGCCCTCAGCTCACCGGCAGCTTCCGGACGAAAGAAATCGAACCTGGCAAGCGCTGGGGTTTGGCTAAGGGGTGTGAGGAGCGGCGCAAGTGGGGTTCCACTGCCCGGACCGAAGCATGGGAGTGGGTGAAAGGGAAGGAACCCTATAGATGATTTTGACTCACTTCTGGAATGCTCGGGTTGTTGGTTGCATTTGTCCTTGGTATACCAAGGAAAACCAAATTCTGACCAAAAGGTTGCCATAGGAAGGTGGTTCAGAAAGGAAATGCCTCACGCCCTTTCGTGACATGTCAAAGGGAAATTCTGCGGCACTGGGGTCCGACATTGGGACTCCTTATGTCATGTACAATCCTCACAGCAAAAGCCCATGTCGTGGGTGTCACAGAAAGAGGGCCATGTCTCTATGCTGAGAACTACCTGAAGCTTCAAACTACCCAGAAAAAAAGGGAATTCAATCTTGAGGGTCAGGTAGCACCCGAGAAAAGTCAGGAGTCCCAACCCAATCCCACGGACTCCAACAAGAACCCTCAAGAGACTGCAAGTGTCCACTTGGGGAAGTCAATGACTCGGAAGGTCAACCTCATGCAGTTCAACCGGAGATCGGATCCGTGATTTTTGATTTGAGGCTGCCGTTTAGAGCTTGGTTTAAAGGAAAACCAAAGGGAAACACCGATTTTAAAGAATCGAAACCCGGTCTAGCAAAGCTTAGTACGGTCGACCACTTAGTAGGTCTTAAGCACGACTCATTTTGGTGTTTCTCCAAGCGCCTCTTTTGTTTGCCTCAACCCCTACATCTTGAGTTCTATGTGGATCAACATCCTTAGTTTTCCGATGCGCTTAGTGCTAAGATGTGCTAGCACGCGCTGCCGCGCTATCCTGATAGTGAATCCTAGGTTCAGGGTTGAACATTGATCAAGTTGATGCCCCTCGCCACAATGCTCAGATGTTTCTCACTTAGCCTTCCCAAGCTCACCCATTACAGTCGCCGCAAGTCTTATGGGCGATCCCCTTCCGTATTCGAGCCCTGGTGTCACAAC